TGAAGAGGTGGGGGGGGGGTGGGAGGTTGGGGGAACCAGGTGGTGGGTATTAGAGAGGGCACGGATTGCATGGAGCACTGGGTGTGGTGCAAAAACAATGAATACTGTTACGCTGAAAAGAAATAAAAAATTAAAAAAAAAAGAAAGCTACACTGTTTTGTTTTGTTTTTTTCTTTTGAGAGAGAGAGAGAGCAAGTGAGCCCATGGTGGTGGGTGAGGCAGAGGAAGAGGGAAAGAGAGAATCTTAAACCTGACATGAGGCTCAATCCCAAGACCCTGAGATCATGAGCTCAGTTGAAATCAAGAGTAGGAGGCTTCATTGAGTGAGCCACCCAGGTGCCCCGAAGCTATACTATTTTTATATACTTAACATAATAAATGCATTATAAGATTTTTAAAAATAGAGAAAAATTCACGCAAAGTTAGATTAACTACACACCACTAAGGACATTTGTTTCCATTCCATCTCAATAGTTGTTGATATAGATATAAATGGTTTTTGAGAGCTTAATTATGGTTTATGTGCATGCTTATCTCTAAATTTTTTACACTTAGCATTATATATTAAAAATCTTTCCAAGTGTCTTCTAATCATCACTTTTACATCTGTACAGTATTTGATAAAAAGGCTAATGGTATAATTTATTGAGCATTCTCAAGATGCCATATATTAAAGTGACATTTTTGTTACTGTAAATAAATATCCATTTAACATTAATATTTATAAAATTTCCTTTTGTGGGATTACTGCATCAAAGAGTAAGGATCATATAGCATGTGTTATACAGCCCAAATTTCATGCCAAGAAGGTTTTCTCTGTTTTCGTCATCACTGGAAATACCTGGATTATCAGGTTAGGACACCCTCGCTGAAACACTTCTTTTCTAAAGATTAAATCAAGTATTTACAAAATATTTCAAACTAAATGTAAAACATAGTGGCAGTTTTTTTTTTCTTTTTCTGGCTGTGACATTCTAGTAATTTAAGATTTTCTTTATCGTTTCTTTAGCATCTAGACCATCGTTTGGCATCTAATGGGAGAAAAACCTTTACTTTTTAAATGAATTAAT